GTACATACAGGAGCAAGCCTCCTGCAAGGGTATGGCCCTGGGGACAGAGTTCAAGGACTCTCGTCCCCGAAGTACATACAGGAGCAAGCCTCCTGCAAGGGTATGGCCCTGGGGACAGAGTTCAAGTACTCTCGTCCCCGAAGTACATACAGGAGCAAGCCTCCTGCAAGGGTGTGGCCCTGGGGACAGAGTTCAAGGACTCTCGTCCCCGAAGTACATACAGGAGCAAGCCTCCTGCAAAGATGCGGCCCTAGGGACAGAGTTCAGGGACTTCTGTCCCCGAAGCGAATGCAGGAACAAACATCCACAAAGAACATTCACAAGCATTCCAGTCCCCAAGTTTTCCAGTCCCCGAGGTTGATACAAGATCTTGCCTCTGGAACGGGCCAACGCGCCCCGAAGACAGTTAGAAAACACTTGTGGTTTATTCTACACAGATAAAGAAAAGCAAAGTACTACTGTATACAGAAGAAGACAGAAAAATGAAAAGGCTAGTTATTTATTTCCAAAAGAAATAGGGGCTTTGCGTCCCCGAAAGCTACAAAAGGAAAGCAAAAAGGGTACAAAAAAGGGGAAGTAAAAAGCAGCTTCATCGGGCTCCAGGCATCTCCAGGACTTCAGCCGAGGGCGAGTCAGCGATAAATGGTAGAGAAGCTTCAGGAGCGGGCTGGGGAAGAACTTCGGCGGCAGGAACAGCTTCAACCGTTTGAGCAGCTTGAGGATCAGAGGCAAGGTCCGATGGAGCGTCCTCGGACAAGTCCACTATCACCATCTCGGGAGCATCAGCCGAGGTCTGCATCGGTGTAGGGGCGTCATCCTCCGCAGCAACTTGTGCTTCTGCCTGCTCCATCTCTGCCGAGGGCACATAGTTGTGCACTTGGAAGAGTGGGGAGTCTGACGGGACTCCGGCAGCCTGGAGCGCCTCGTCCCACCCTTTCTTAAAGAACTCTTTGCTGTTTTCTTCAAGGGCGGGGAGCACGTCGTCGGCAAACTCCTCCAGAAGTTGTTGCTCCGATTTCCGGGTCAGCTCCTCGGCTCTGATCCTATCTAGCTCCTGGGTAAGGGCCAGACAGCTTTCCTCGGAGCCCACTGCCCTCTCCTCCGCCGCCGAGAGCCGCTGCGTTTGCTCAGTAATCCTCCTCTCAGCATCGGCAAGTGCGGCACTTAGCTTCTCAGCGCCCGACTTGGCCGATTCAGCGTCCTTGAGGAGTTGCTCTATCTGGGCAGCCTGCCCCACCAGGGTGGAATCCCTGGCAGCTACATCTTCCGTTGCCCGAGCAAGGGCAGCTTCCGCTTCAGCCTTCTGATCCTTGGCCCTCTGAAGGTCCATCCTGGACGCGTGGTACCGGCCAGCTATGATAGAAATCTGCTGGGCAGCCTGTAAAAGAAGGAAAGAATGTTAAAACACAAAAGTAGAAAACAAGAGTGAAGGGTCGAAACGGGAATAAACTCACCACCAGGGAGTTCTGGATCATGGAGCGGAACAACACGTTGGTTGATCGCCCCCGATGAGCCTCCATGTCGGCCTCAAAATGCAATGTCTCACTCACTGCATAGGCGACATGGGGATCCTGCAGAATGGAATCATCGACCCTGATCACTCGGTTCATGTGATCAGTAGCCCGAGGATTCCACACTGCGGCCTCCACTGTGGATGGGAGGGAAGGAGTAGCCTGTTGCTGTTGCTGCTGCTGCTGCTGTTGTCGGGGTTGCTGTTGTTGCTGCTGTTGTCGAGTTTGCTGCTGCGGTTGCTGCGGTTGTGAGGGAGTAGAGGGTAATCCACGATCCCTCCCGCTTTGCTGCTGAGCGGGAGGCACCCTGGGTCCTCGGCTGAGGCCATCGTGCCGATGCTTCACCCTCCTCTCCTCCTCCACCTGAGGGTCCCGATCTCGCACCTGACCCCGATCAGGAACCCTTGATGATGGGGCAGAGCTGGTTCCTGCCGGAGTACCGCCGGCCGTCCCTCGACCTCTCCCGGCCGCGAGGGATTGCCTCTGCCTAAGAAACCCCAAATTGATGCGTGGGGTGTTGGACATCGCTTCCTCGAGAGCGTCTTCGGCGTCCAAAGTTTGGAGAATTTGAAAATCCGGCCACAGGTCGCCTCCCGAAGTCCCCACCTCGGCGTCCGAAGGAGCAACGTCCTCTCTGACCCCGACCTCAGCAACTCCTTCTACCTCTCCCTCTGAAGCCCGATCCGGGTCTTCCTCCAAGTTCTGCTCGACCTCTAACCTCGCCGCCTGATCAAAGAGCTCTGACCACTGTGAAGGCTCGAAAGGTTGAGGGAGCTGTGAGAACTTCTTATACCCAGGGGTATAGTGCAGCAAATTATGGGCAGCTCGGCCAAATCCGTCGGCACCCGTGAAACTCCAAACCGTTGTTAAGTCGCCAAAATTGACCAGCGACCGAGGGGGTGGAGCTGTTTCCCGAGAAGGAATACCTGCATAACAAAAAAGATTGTCATAAACATGAGAAGTCCCAAGAAACAAATAAAAATACCCAAAGGAACCGACGTACTTGTCGTTCTCCATTCCCGAGGGCAAAATAGGTCATTGTACTCGGGACCGACACCCCTCTCCCAACATCCCTTGAAGATCAAGATGTCGTCCTTGTACCCCTTGTCCGAGTCAGGAAGGTGGGTTACAAGGTACATAGAGGGGTCCCTGGCTTTGAGGTAGAAATGTTGGTGGGGCATGACTCTTAGGAGAGAGTAACAGAAAAGGAGGTCGTTGAGCCCAATATTCACCCCGAGGCGCCTATTGAGCTCTAGGACTCCCATAATTATCCGAAAGACGTTGAGGCAGCATTGCCCGGGGAAGAGACGGAAGCGAGACAGGAACTGAAGAAGCAGGGGGGGTAAAGGAAACCTAATGCCACCCTCTATGATGGCCTTGGTATAGAAAGGCATGGCATCCGTGGCCCCGAAGGTAGGAGAGTACAACAAAGGGTTAAAATCCACTACGTCCACGCTCGGAGGGATGCCGTACTTCGCCCTAAACCTATTGATCTGTGCCTCGCCCGTCACCTTGTATTTCCCTGACCCCGAGGGACCAGCCGATGGATTCTCGGGAACAGGGCGACGACGAGGCATCTCTAAAAAGAAAGGGGAGGAAAAGGTGTTCTCTGTTGAAAACCCGAGGAAGTTCCCCGAGGGTTTAAATCAAGAGGTACCGACCGGATGACACCACCGCTCAAATCGGAGAACAAGAAGGCCAGGAAGACGATAAAGAAGAAGGTTGTGAAACTCACCAGAAGACGTCGGAAACGGAGTTTTTCAGGAAAAAACTTTGAAAACAACTCGCACCGGAAGGACCAGGAGTCAACAATGGGTTTACTGACTGTGATTTTTAAGAGAAGATGCTGTCGATGATGGCTGAGAAAACAAAAAACTCCGGCGAGCAGATCGGAAAAGGCGTATTCTGGGTCAGAGATCGGAATGGCAAAATGATAGAAACCGGAGAAGAACCCCCTTTATATAGGGGGGAAACTGTCATCATTGGGCGGGAGAACCAAAAACAGCGCATTTAATGCGCACGACATCCCAAGACGGGGAAAGCTGCTCGAGGCCATAATGAAGGACGGATGGCAGTTGGAAAAACCCTTCGTCTCCTGACAACGCGTGTCCTCGGTGTCAGAAGATCGAAGGCTGGGGGGCAGTTGATGGGACTCTTCTGAAAAGCCTACGATGAAGACACGTGTCCTCGGGGTTTTAGAACAATGTTGCTCGGGTTCGAGCACCATCGGCAAGGCGTCCTCTCCCCGAGGTACCTCTCATATAGGATCACATATTCGGTACATTATACAAAGACATGTGTCCTCGGTCACCATGTACCTCGGGAACACACCACCCCCTTGGTCCCCGAGGTGAGCCTTTCCTCGGCGCCGAGGGTCACTCCATCCTGGACGCTTCCTCTACTCCCGGATAAAGCTACTGACATACTGGACATCAGCCTATGCCAGTATGGATTATTCATCATGACCTCCTCTTACACAAGTAATGTCAGAACGTGCTGGAATACCGGCGTAACAGCCAATAAGGGATGGACGCGTGGCAAATAATGTCACATCCGAAGCAGACAAACCGCATGCCGCTGCTGACACGCGACTTGGGAAAGCAAACAATTAATTGCACCCTTCTGTTGACGAGACCGCATTCAATGCGGTAAGGTTCGGATATGAAAGGCAATAAATGCTCCTATTACAGAGCATTTATTGCATCCTTCCTGACAGGAGCATATTGTACCGTCGGCGTCCCGACAGACTCAGCATTGATTGTTCGGGACCCCGAGCAATCAATTAGAGAAGACATTCCTCAACAAATGATTACACACGCTACCTGTGCCTGATGATTACCTACTGACCACACTGACAGCAATCATGATCTTCTAAGGTATAAATACCCCTCCCAAAAGACAAAGCGGGTATGCAATCAAAAACTCTCAACTACAAAATATCCTTCTCAGTGTTTTCTCCTTCCTCTCTCTCATTCAAAGACTGACTAGACCGTCGGAGGGGATACGCCGGAAAACACTCCGGCGCCCTTCTAACTTGTTCTCCTTTGTTCCAGGAAATACCTTCCACACGTACAGGATCGTTCCTCCTTTCCCAGGATCACCCTTTGCCGTTTCCGGTTGCCACCGTACCTTGTAGGCTGTTTCAAGCAGCGTGTTTGGCTACTCAACCGGCTCACCCAAGGTTCACCAGGGGAGAGATCTGTTCCCAATATTTTATATATCGTGCAGGATCGAGCCCGCACATATATATATATATATATATATATATATATATATATATATATATATATATATTGGGAAAATCATTACATTTGAAGCTATGGTTTTTGATGTACATGAAATATCAGACCAGACAATTTTTTTGTGCATTTTAGAGAACAGAAGTATTGCAAATTTCAAATACCAGAAAATTTCTGTTTATAGTAGACCGCAAAAAATAAGCCCTTCATTTCCAAAAAGGAAGGGCCCAAAGTGTATTAAGGAGCAAATTTAAATACCACTAACCTGAGGCTTCTTCACCATGTCTCCACATTCATCCACAAAAAACCCAAATCCTATAACGAAACAACAAGAATACCAAATGCAAAAATTAATAATGCAATACTAGTGGCAATTACATTAGCAGTGGCAGCGTGTATCATGTTCATCCACAAACATCTGCAATTGCAATTTAAAACATGTATCATGATAATTCAAAAAATACAACACGTTTACAATGTAGTTTTTTAGTGTCAGTGCAAGATTTGTAACCCAAATGAATGATGTACAACCCCAAAAACTAATACTTAGGCAATGCTTCAGTCATCATGATAAATATTAACCAATATAATTCAGCATTACCATCTTGACCTATGCACACCCCATTGTGGAATACGCATGAATCACCAATTGTGCAATTACTAAGCACAACATTGTACCTGGAAAAAATATAGGCATTCAATTGAGCATTTTAGCACTGGAACCAGTACTATTTAAGAGGTATTTACATAATGCATTTATGTAATTATGTACGCCTTTACAACTTGAAAACATCCCATAAACTGTAGCATGACTAAGCTTGAGATTGCTGACAACAGATAATTGCTAAAATGCATTAGACAAACGCAAAATATATATCTGCAGACGAGTATACCCTATTCTCGTTGATTGACCAATTGTGACAGCAGGTCCAATTATAGCTCCTGATCCAACATGAACATTTGCACCCAGCACAGATTCTGAATGGACTACTGCGCCAAATTCTATGTGAACTGTTGGATCAACGCAAGCTGACTTGTGGAAAGTACCACCTCCATTATTCCATTTCTGAAATTCTTGATGAACGATTCCAGCATCATCCTCTAATCTTGAATTGAAAGCATGTACAAGTGAAACTTTTTACATAAGTTTGAACTGCACAAACTCCAAATGAAAGCTTGAAACAACATATAAACCCATTGCGTTGCTCACGAGAGGTTTAACAAATAGTGCAGTCAAACTACATAGAGTCTCTAGATTGCATGCATTGTACAACATCATAAAAACAATTAAACTCTGTATGCCCAGAACTAGAAGTGATCTGGGTGTGTATCTTTTCATACAGCGGTTAAAAAACTAGAAATCTTAAAAATCGAAAGGAAATGTCAATAACAGTAAGTGAACGAGACATTTCATCAAACAGATTCAACGCAATCATATACACTAGTCAAGTGCATAAAATTAAACCGCCAGATGAAAAGCAGAAGATGGTGGAAACGAGTTTGCAAGTGAGCACCCACCGGGCTTAATAGAGACAAACCCAGAACCATTCTGGTCAGACGAACAAGAGGAACAATGGTAACGACTACAACTGTTTGATAAAAGTCTTGTTGTGAACAAAGCAAGGGACTCTTGCACATGCGACTTCATAGAGATGAGATTGGTAATTGCTGCTAATCGTCGGATGTAATGTGCCATGGCAACGGTCAGTCCAAGGCTACCACAGGAGATCAAAAGGGTCTAATCTATAATCCTCTAGTATGATTTGTACGTTCTGAACCTAGAAATTAGACCAATTATACCTAGAATCCTGGGAGGGGCTTGCTATCCTAACCTTTTTTTTTTTTTTCCTCTTCGCCAATGTCAAAAAGAGTGACGAATTCATTTTTGTTCAATCACAACTAAAGTCAATTTTCTTAAATTTATTGTTTGGCGGCCGACCATTAAGCGATTGATTATAGATTCAAATTTTATTTCAAGAAAATTTATTGAGGCGCCCAAATTTAATCGGATCAGATTCAATAAATCAAGTGAATCTAAATCAACTAAAAGGTAAATCAAACTAAGTAAATCAAATTGACCCAATCTAAGGTCCAAAGAATCCAAAAAGATTAAAATAAGCATGAGAATTAAAATTTATATACCCAATTTTGAGTTTGAGTTATGCAATCCAAGTCAAAAGATTTAAACTCGATAATACTAGAGCTGAAGAGGTGGTGTTAAATTTTGGGTTCAAGTTGAACTTCAGTTTAGAGATGTTTAACTTTTGAGCCCAAATCCAACTTTTCATTGTACTTACCCGTTGGATTTACTACTTTGCTGCAATTGTGATGTCTGTAGTTTCAATCCTAATCTCGTAGAAGGTATTTTTTGGGTATGCCTTTTTGATTCGTATGATTGTGTTGCCTTCTTCATTAGTATTTTTCATATCGGGATTGAGAATCAAGACGAAGTAGAGTACCATACTTGAACTTACCTTTCGCTAGTCTTATTGATTTTTCTGACTTTGTGGTAAACAGTCATTTATGAAAGTTTTTTAGGGATTGATATCGAAACAGACTTTCTGAATCATTTTTATCCTTAGCGATTTGCGAATCTTATGTGATTATTATACACAATATCAATGCATTATGTGCGAGCTATTGAAAGAGCTAGGCCTAGCTGATTATACCGGCCTTTGCCTCTAAAAAAAAGACTTCCACATATGTAGCCCAATAAAAAGAATTCTTTCTATTGAACTTAATAGGAGTCATTGGAGCATTAAGATCGAAACTGAAGTAACGAGTTCATGCCTATACTAGAATCAGTAGTTGGTAAAGTGGATAAGAATTCATACACTTTGACATTTAAGCAAATGCAACTCTAGCCTACTTTACAACCCTTCCCCCAACCTCCACATAGCTTGGATTTAGAGATGAGAAAGTCATTTCAGGTATCGATCTAATTTTATGTCTGTTCGTTATGTTTGAAGGTAAACAATTATCTTAACAGCGTATTCTTATGACTTATTAGTTGCAACATGAGTTTTGGATGAATTCAATCATCCACCAATCTCACCTGTTGGTTAAAATAAAGAAACCTCAAAATTAGAACGTGCGTGTGATGCCTCCTATTTAACTATTGGACTACCTAGTACAAACCTAAGATGGAATTACAAGAAAAACACTTTAGAGTTCAACATATAAGGCCTATGGTTTACCATCTTACTCCATGCTTAATTATTGAATATATAATCATATGTTAGTCATTTAATTGGTCCATCCAAGGCTGGCAGACACTATAAGCAAGTGAAATACTTGCTTAGGACCCCCAAATTATATTTTTGGTCTTCATAATGTGGGTTCGGGCTTAATAATATTATGGAATAAGTGCCCAAAAGATACAAAATTTTACGTTCTCTTTTCATTTGTTGTCAATCTAACCATTTTCCAATATAAAAATACATTTACATAAACAAATCTTGCCTACATCTCTCTCACACACATTCTCTTAGTCTCTCTCATTCAAATGATTTTAAGTTCACAACACATTGAAAAATAACATAGTCATAAAGTAGCATAAATCCTCTTTCTTTATTGAAAAATTTACATAAATATAAAATAGTATATATAGTTATAATAAGTTTAATAAATTTGTCAATGTCGCGCTTAAAATTTTCACTTAGTACCTAAAATTCTATTTGATGATTCACGAAATGATTTTGCACACCACCTGTCAAGTATGAGTAATAAATGCAGTAATTAAAGTAGAAAGAGAATGCGAGATTTATAGTAGTTCGGTCGATGTGACCTCTGTCCACTTCTAAATGGCTAGGGTCGCCGGATACTTTATTAATTCAGGAATGCTGAGAGAGCAGAGAGTACAAGCTTTGATAGAGAGAGGAGAGAGTCGTGCTTTGGTGAGAGTGTGATTCTCCTCAAGTGTTGGCAGTGCTTACAATTTATAGTCATCCCCTAATAGATCGGAGCGACTTAATAGAAACTAAATAACAATTCTGGCGGAGCTTACGACTTCTCCTCAACGGGCGAGGTGGTTGAGGTGCTATCCACAAGACCTGGTCAGAAGTGAGGAGAGGGTTAACTATTTCCAAGATGGTGAGGGTGTGACTCCTGGATGCTCTTTTGATGACGTGGCCAAGCTAACGTAACTTCCTGATGAGCTTGACTGGTTTTGGACCATATTGGGTTTGGTGGGTCCATATAAGACTAGGCTCTTAATTAAGATTGAACTTTCCACATGAATTGGGTCATTTGGGCTTGACCCATCATTTACCCTCCCAATGCCCCGTGTCTGATGAAACTTGGAGAAGGGGGCATTAGTTTGAATCTTGAGCTTTGAGTGATGGAGACTCCCTCTGCTAGATGACTCTTCCCTTTCATAATATATTTTCGCCTAGGCGAACACCTCAAATCTTTTCCATTTTTACTTGGTTTTTCAAGAGAGCTCTTGATTTTCAATTGGGGCTTTTTTCTCTTTTAAAATCCTAGGCTATAAATAGAAGCTTCCTTCTCATTCTACCCATCTCTTTCATCTTGAGATTGAAAACCCATTCTTGTGAACCTTGAGAACCCAAGCTTTTCCCATTCCATAGAGACTTGAGAGAAGAGAGGCAAAGCCTGAAGCCTTTCAAGAGTGTATTGGTGAGATTCTTGAGTGGAGTATCTAAGTGGGCAATGTAAGTTGAGGGAGGTGAAGTGCAAAAATCCATTGGTACCATGGCGAATGGAGAGGTTGGAGCTGAAACAGGTGGCTATATGGTCTTCGGAATGATGGAGATCGAAGGATGTGGAGTGGAGGGAACCCCGCTGGCCGCCGCTGCCATTGGTGCACGCAAACAGTTCACGAAGGAGATGGTGAGCGCCACAGGCGCTGGTCTGGGCAATTTTGGCGAGCTGTCCCGCTCAAATAAGCATGCAGAGGACTGCCTGGGTGCCGAAAGTACTGATCTGGACCACCTGGGAGCCGAAGGTGTTGTCCTGGACAGCTTGTGTAAGCAGGAACTAGAGAGGACTGGGCGGCTTGGCCTAGGGGATGTGTAGACTGGTTTGGGCACTAATTTGAGCGCTGGTTACGCTGATCTGGGCGCCAACTTTAGTGCAGATGTGCGACATGGGATGCCCAAGGTGGTCGTCGGTGCACAGCTAGACATGAGTGATGAGGAAGCGGACCTGGACGCCCCTTTAAGTGTTGATCTGGGCGAGTACAACAGGCCATACACCCCTTTAGGCGCTGTCCCCAGCTGGTTTGTGTGAGTAGAGGGGGCCAAACACCTCTCCAGGTTCTGCGCTACCCCGTTTGGGCGAGCAGAGGGTGCCAGACGCCTCTATAGATGGTGGGTTGAGTAGTGCAAGCTACAAGAAAATTTTGGGCGCCACTTTTGGTGATGATTCGAGGAGTTCAGACGACCAAGGAGCTTTGGGGTGCCCTTTTAGGGAGTTTAGTTCGTGCCCATGCAAGCGGGGCGGCCCAGGCACTTTTTGGCAAGCCTGGTCCTGGAATCAAGGTATAGAGTACGCCAGACACTTCTTGTGGTGATGGTTCAGCTCCTTCGAGTGCACCTTCTTAAACCCACATTCCTCAAGACCTCCTAGATGGTGGCTCAGGCCATTCCTCACGCCCCCATAGTAAGAACACACAAAAGGCAAAGTGGCATTTGATGATGACGGGTCTAAGGTAAGTACCCTTTCTAGTTTGCTCAATTCAGATGATGATATTTTGAGACTTGTTTCTACTTATCATATTCCTCCGACTATGCTGTGCCACAGGGCTGAGACGGGTGAGTCTGCTTGCGATGACTTCTCTGGTGACATTGTCATCTACGAGGAAATGCTTGAGGCTGGGCTTAGGTTTCCTATGTCTTCTCCCATTTGTCACATTCTGCATTACTTTTCATTGACCCCGGGGTGGGTGGCGCCTAATGGTTAGAGAGTCTTGCTGGGCTTTCTTGCATTGTGGAGGAAGGTGCATCATGAAGATGCTTATCCTACAGAGTTCCATGCAGCTTATAATTTGAGCGAGACTCCTGCTCCAAATAGAGGGTGATACTATTTTACCACGAGAAGGGGTAAGATGCTCACAGGATTACGCTCCAACTGCCATAGCTAAAAATCTCATTTCTTATTTGTTAGTGCAAAGTGGGTTGTAGAAGCCGATAGGGCTTTGGTACCAACACAATGGGGTGTTGCTAGGAAACTCGGTACACCCTTACTCATTTTCTCTCTCTCTTTTTTTTTTATGTGTGTACCCATCATCTCTTCGCAGATTCGTCTGTGATCTCCAAAGACCAAGAGTGAAAATTGCAGGCTGTGAGGGCTCATCCTGACAAAGACTTGGGAGTCCTCTAGCCCAAGAGTGCTAGGGTTATTACTCCCTCCCTGAAGTTCGGAAACTCTTCTTTGAAGAGGAAGGGTGAGTTGATTTTTTTTTGTACCTTCCTTGGTGCTTTTCTGACGCTTTATTTTCTTTGCAATGATGGATAGAAAAGTGATTGGGTCCCACTTCTCTGGTAGGAGTCCTCTTCCTTCCAATGTGGCAAGGACGAGCGATGTCCCCTAGGTGACTTCTCCAACGGCGTTGCCTAGGGTGAACTTTCCTCAAGCAGCCCCTTCAGTGGAGCCTCGGGCGTGTTCGCATCAAGTGATCCCTCCGGT